ATTGATACAAAATAAATAGGAGAGATTGTAAATCTACAACATCATTTGAATTATAAAATGCATTCATTATGACAATCAGCTCATGAAACCTATACATGTCATTTGTGCTTATTTAGGTTTATATACACAGCTCTGGATACTGTGTTCAGAAAACTTCACTGCTACAAAGCATGAAATGTACACTATGATACAGTGAGTAAAGGCTAAGGAGGATGGAAATCAGACTCAAAGCAGGGTCTTATTTGAGGCGCCAAGGCAGTGTTGGCATTGGGCCTCAAAACCAAGAAAAGGCATATTAGAAGCCCAGGTGGGCAGGCAGCTTCCATGGTCCAGAGAGATGGATTCTGCAATCCAAGGTGGGAATTAGAGACCATCACTGTTGTGGGACCAGGCCACCAACCTGGCTTGGGAGTGTGGGAGTGAGGAAGGAGGCTGTGGCCTCACAGCCACGCTGTACCATTACCCAGAGAATAGACCCAGTCACCAGGGAACCACCTCTAAAGTATTTCACGGAGGTACTTGAGAGGCCCTGCCATGAAGTAAAGACCTGCCTCCATCCTCATCTCAAACACCTGCCATCAGGAATAGAGGTGGGCCCAATAAAAGGGGCCGGGACACTAGGACCAACGTAAGAGCAGCAACCTGTTTAAGACAAAAGCAAAACCGCTCCTTCTCACCCACTTTAAAAGACAACAGAACCCTAGGCTCCATGGATGAGGGGCTCCAGAACAGATCTCATCTCAGTCATAGACGATGTACTAACAGTAGAGGCATATGTACATAATAAATAATAATATAAAATAAAGCATATACATTTGTGGACTTAAAAGGATTCCAGAAACAAGAAAAGTCAACGGACTGACACACTCCACCTTCACAGTAGACTTTAGACACGGGGAGTAATGAATCAGGAGCGAGGCTGAGGCTCTCTGGGGAACAAGAGTCCTAAGGCCTTACTTTTCTCTCTCTCCCTTCTGCTCTGGGAGCCTGAAACCAGCTGTTTATATCCAAGGGGCCTGGGCCTCCAACAAAAAGGGCGGGCACTCAAGGCCCACCAGGTCCATTTGATAGTTCTCTCCAGGGTGAGTCTGAAGAGGAAGCTGGCCCCAAAAGAAATCACTTCTCGAGTGAATCCATGTTGGTCAGATGTGGGCAAATGCTGGAAGATACCCTGCCAAGTGAGGCAAAACAATACTCCCAGTCATTCTTCCAATTCGTTTATGTTTAATACCCAGTGGGTATGGAAACTTGAAAATGTGTACTCACTCAAGTCTTATAGTATGTGTTGGATCTGTGTACATATAGACCTCGGCATACAAACTCCTAGAACTTTACTCTCTTGCCATTTAGAACCTTTGTTTCCATGTTGCTTCAAGTACAGCCTGATACTTAAAACAATTCTTCTGAGATGACCTCAGTGGCTCTAACCTATACAGTGAGAAAGCTTACTTGAGCCGAGACAACCACAAAGGTCTGAAGAGCAAAGAAGGTCCCCAGCCCAAGACAGTGGGAGGAAAGCTGCTCCAAGCTCTGCAGCTGCTGTGCACTGCCATCTTCCTCCTGTTCTTAGGGCTGACCAGGGGCTCTGGCATCTTCAGGCAGGGCAGAAGGAAAAGCAGCACGTAAGCACTCCCTGCAGGAAGGGTGCCCGCACGTGCCGGAGGAGGAAGGCCCACTGCCACAGCCTTGAGCAAGCTTGGTGCGGGTACCCCGCACATCCGCAAACCGAGGCAGATGAACAAACATCATCCTAGAACCCTCTGAACTCACCTCTCCTATCAGCCCACGCAAACACAAAAGAAACGTGGAAAGATATAAATTTGCAAATGGCCCTGAGGTATAAAAATCCACTGAGTAGGTTGCTCACTGATCCATTTACATGGGAAAAGTTTCTGAATCCCCAGATCACTTCCATATTGAACTCTCTAAATCCCTCCTAATTCTGGGCTAACCTGCAACCCACCAAGATGCCCTTGCTGGACAGAAGCACCACTAGTCCAGAGGCCGGAATAGAACCACACCTCACCCAGGATAAGAGCCTGTGTCCTCAAGGAAGAGAGTGCGCGCTGGTGCCTCAGAAGCCTCCACTCCCTGAACTGCCAGCTCAGCCTCACAGTCTTCAACGCTCCGTAAGAAAAACCGTCTCCGGGATCAAAGCTGAGAGGGGAACAGTTCCTGCTCTCGTGCTAGCAAGGAGCTTGTGTCGTGACATGCACAAGCCAACCCTCCCTGGTGGCCTCCTGCTTACAATCCCAGGGAACAAGGTGAACACCTTCCTGTGCCAGCCCAGGTGAGTCCTCTGCTTGGGCCGGGCCCTGGGGAACACTGGAGGAATCCTGGTCTCCTGGCCCAGGAAAGGCAAAGATGGTCAGATCCCTGGTTGGTTTTTCAGAAGATGACAGGGTTGGGTTTTGTTTTTGTTTTTGTTTTTGTTTTTGACCAGCCAGGACACAGGTTCAATTGGCCAGGGCCTACTTAGGTCTGCTCCTCAACCTGAGGTAATTTGAGGACAGAAGTTCATGGTCCCTGCTAAGCCCAAATTCCCATTGCTTCATTTCCTAAGGGAAATGCAATTCTACTTGTATCTAGCACTGTTTTCCTAGACTTGGAAAAGCTGGACCTTTAGTTGTGTGGTACTGGGGACAGCACAATATATTCACAGTTAATGTTCCATATTAGTGTGAAGTTTTGCATTCAGCATTTGCACAAAAGCTCCTCGTATTAGAAAATGGCAAGATGCCCTAATCCTCCCACTTGGGGAAGACAACACTGTCAGCCTGGGCACTGAGCTCTCTTCCAGAAGTGAGGTGAGGAAGGAGGGGAAAAAAGAGTTACTTGGGGTGCCCGTTCACATTCAAATTATGTAAGAACCAAGGCTTAAGCTAGTTGATTAACATCTCAGTTTCCATGCACAAATCTTAAGGTTCTGTTTTCCTAAGAGTTTAAACATATGATTTTAGACTTGCCTGATGCATGTGAAACAGAGAATTAAAGGGAGGGAACCTCTAAAGCAGTAGGAAGAAAGTCTCCCTCATTTATGAAGAGAAAGCAGATTGTCCCAGGAACACTTGGATACTAGGAATCCAGTTCCAGGAGGAAGCTTCGGGATGCCAGAGTGGCTGCTTAGGAGAGGAGGAGGCCCTGTCTGGTCCCCCAGAGCCAGGGCTTACAGCAGGGGCCACTGAAAAGGAGAGCGAGGCCCTGGCCTGACAATGGGGCTCCCACAGAATTCAGAACCCCGGGCCCTGTGTCTGCTCCACAGCCCCGCTCCCCACGCTTACGAAGCCAGCAGCCCTAGGAGAGGACGACCCACCAGTAGTGCCAAGGATGGGCCGCTGCACATCAAGATCTCAACTATTTGATGGTCTTTCTCTGCCTTGCTCTCATTTACTTTGTAGACTTGAACCGCATAGACCTTCCCCAAATCATTCTCCTGCTGCCCCACAGAAGCCATGAGCCAGCATTTCTCCTTCAACAGCCTGAAGTTAGTTTCCACAAGGAAAGTGGGGGGCCTGAAAGAGGAATCTGTCGCTCAGATACTGAGTGTTACCATCTGAAGGGTCTTGGGCCTTGCCCAAAGCAGATATAACTGTAGCCAAATGTTAGCCTTCATTCCTTCAGGGACCAGACAGGACTTATTTGGGATTCCCTGTTGTTATAAAACAGTGTGAAAAATCAAAGGTGAAGAGTAGTTTATAGAAAATAAATACGAACTTGGGAGGCTAAAATTTCGTCCTCCAGGAGACCTACTGCAAAGCCCCCCCTGTGCCAGCTCCTTTATAGAGAGGACTTTTCAAAAAGCCACACACCGAGCAGGTAAGACAGTATGGAAACGTTAACCATTTCTCCCTGAAGTCAAGGAGCCAGCAGCTGGAATCCTCTCAAAAGGGCTTTAGGATTCACAGAGCAGCAGTGGGGCTCCAAAAAAAAGACCCAGCACAGTAACTGTGATTCCAGAGGCTCCTTCCAGTAGCAAGGCGCCCGGAGACGGACTGCGTGTGGAGAGGCAGATCAAAGCGGATAGGCCAGGGGAAGCTGACGGGCGAGAATCCAGGAGGCCAGAGGAACCACGGCTTGGCAGCCCAGCTGCGCCAGACCACAGGGATGGCACTGGGCTGTCCCGGCCCAGAGCGTGGCATGCTGGCTGGGGCAGAAGCCGCCTCCCCTAGCAAGGCCCGGGTTTCACTCTGTTACAGGGAACTCTCTCTCATTTCTGCGCCCCCTACAGATAATCCCAGTTCCCGTGTCATGTCATACTGACGCTGTGCTCAGCTAGACGCATTTTAAGAAAGTGAGACATTTACACTTGGATGGGTTTGTTTATAAAAGCAAATACTCATAGTACAGGGTCCCACTAATGTCAAGCTCCGCGGTGGGAGCACCATCCCACGGTGCTCTGATTTGGGTGCCAGCAGCAGGCCACTCAGCCCCTTGAGGGGGCACCCGGTGACTTCTGCCAGGTGAGACCAGTGCCTCCCTCACTAAGGGGCACGGCACCTTCTGAGGAAGATGCTCCAGGACCAACATCCCAGGGGAAACACTGCGCCAGGTGCGCACATGACACTGGAGCAACCAAGCTGCTCACCGGGAGGCAAGCCCAGTGTGTTGCTGGTTCTTTCCCAACCGCAGCTCCCACCCGCCAGCGCGCAGCCTGGGGTGCACAGTCCTACCTGGAGGAAGGAGAAGAAACTGCCGCTTAGCCCCAGGGCTTCCCTTCGTGCAGTGAGACCCAGTGGAGAAGATGCTATCTTCTCGCCTAGTGACTGGACGCAGCGAGGACTGACAGGTCTATATGAAAACTGTGGTCAGTAGGAAGTCATTTCAGTGTACGAATGTTGCCGACAAAATGCACATATCCCTTGGGTTAACACTTAAAACACAGATAAAAGAGTTAGGAATTCAGTCACTCAAGAAATACCTCCTGACATTAATTTCACTACACGTGATGAATTTGATAGTAAAATAAGACAGAGACACACATGAAATGGCCACAACACACATTTGGTTTCTGAATCCCTGTTTGGGGCCAAACTGACCCTGGCTGTACGGGCAGCCTCTCTGGCGTGGGCCACGTCTGAGGTGGGAGACACAGAGGTCCTCAGGCGGGGACACAGCCACTGCTGGGCCCCGCGGGCCCAGGGACAGGGGAAGGGGGCAGGTGCCGGCAGTCCCCAGTGTTTCCTCCTTTAGACACATGGGCCTAGACGTGCCTTCTTGGCAGGGCGTACAGAGCACAGCTGGAAGGTCCGACTCCTTTTCTGACAATGACATACATCCCAGCGGGAAGGGCAGGAGTGTGGACTCCACACCACGAGTTTACTCGAGGGCCCTGTGGAAGATTTCCATTTGGCATCTGTGTAGCAGCATCGTGGATTAACAAGAGCAAGGACGGGGCGGTGGGTGACGGGCGCTCAGTAAGCTGGGGCGGAAGAGGCCTGGCTGAGCTGGAGGCCCCAGGCTGTGGGAATGTTGGGGTGAAGCCACCTCGCCTCTTGCAAAGATAAACCATAGGTTTAAAATCCGTTAACATTCATTTTGGTGATAAAAATTCCTTAGAGTGGGAGCAAAATCACATTCCAAGCAAACGTTAAACCTTTCTGAGGGAAAGGGACACCGTGAAACATTAACTTAAAACAACACTGAGCTCAGAGAGGCTGCAGGTCCCTGTGCAGGCTCCACCCTTCAGAGCCAACAGCCTGGGCAGGTCTGTGTCATTCATCCTTGAAGTTCGACAGCGACACCCACTGGGGCACAGAGGAAGGGTGCCCCTCCCTGGGGCAGGGGCCAAGGAAGGCCACTGGAGGGACAAGTCCATCCTTCTAAGGTTACATCATGGGGTCACAGCAGAGTTCAGACAGAACAATTTAAAACTCTGCCAAGGACACTTTCTAAAAACATGATCTCTCAGAAGAAAGTAAATCGCAACAAGTTTCAACTTCATGCAAATCGAGGGAGGAGAGTGGGTAATGACAGAAGGTACAGCTGAGAAAATAACCACGATTCCATTTGGGCGGAAGAAATTCATCTCCATAATCTCGAATGCCACGCCCTGGCTGTCGATTTCACATCTCCAGTTTCCATTCCTGCCCTCCCCAGCCTCCTCTGCTGCTTCCAGGAAGGGGACAAAGTCTTTGGTCTCAGGATGGTGCAGGATGCAGCATGGCACACAAGCGCACACTAACGGGATTCACGGTCAGACGCGGAGGCCGAGGCCGGTGCTCTAGATGGCGCCTTCGCTGTGCAGGCTGTGGTTGGCCTTGCTGTGCGTCACACAGTTCTGTTCATTGAGCAGGTTGGCCGTCTCGTCTGGCAACCCGTCGTGCAGCTCCGTAAGAGTCAATTCAATTTTAGTGTTTTCACTGTCTGAAGACTGAGGAGTTTTGTCCATCCGGGATGCCATCAAGGCATTTTGGTATTGCTGTCTTGAGATCTGAGGCCAGGAGATGGTACAGAAAACAAACCGAGATAATGTTTATTTTTAGGCGCTCTTGTCTCCACATGGTATTTATTACACATTACCTCCCCCGAAGGGCCCCTAGCAGTTGCTCTAGAAGAAAATCATCCTTGAGTATAAACTGAGCCACTTTTTAAAGTTCAAGTTGATTCTAGTGAACAATTCACTTTTTGCTGATATATAATAAGCCACTTCCAAGTTCTGTCTCGACATTTCAGAGACTAGAAAATGGCTTCCATCAGCTAAAGCTGGCTCATCCTCCCCCCCCCCCCCC